TTTATGCATGGATTTAGCCTAGGTGCACCCAGTTACTTTTGGCTAAAACTAGATCCATTAGCATTCAAATAATAATTAGAAGAATTTCTGTAAACTTTGTCAGAAATATGTATCTCTCAAGTTGGAGCAAGCAGTACACATTTTAAATTTCACTAGTCAGTTGAGTGGTTTCAGAGTTATTCATGGACAAACAATGTGACATATGTCCACCAGACCGAATTTCGGTCACTGCGGTCAGTCTTAACAGACACTAGCCATCTTTGCAGGTCAGGATTATAGTGCACAAGTGTGTGCACAAGCACAGGTGCAATATGTATTCCTTCACTTTCATAGTCTGACGGAATCCTACATGACTGGAGAGAGATAAAATTGTCAACAACTTCGAACATAGTATTCCCAACAACTACTATAGATGTTAGACATGATTTTTGTCTTGTCCATGTTCATCTTAAGATCTACCCTTTGGGAAATACTACTGAGGTTGTTGAGCATAGTGCTAATGTCCTCCAGGGATTCTGCCATAATGACTATATTGCCACCAAACCAAATGAGAGTGATGTATTCACCATTGATTCTTTATAATTATATTTTAATGAAATACCTGTTCATGTGTTAAACGCAACTCATGTTTAGAGGCAGCAAGAGGCAACTGGGATGGAGCTCCAGGAGGCATGCCATGTTGATGCCTTGTTATGGAATAGGAGTCACCTAAAAGTAAAATAAAAATATAAGAAAAAAATTAAGTATTTTAAAAATCTAAATAAATTTATTTAAATTATTTTTAATTATCCTTGTTATAAAACTTTACTACTACTAAACAATTAATATATTTATATAATAACACATAAAACAAAAAATTCAAACCAAACTTTATACGTGGTTAGAGCCATGCTGCAGCTATATTAGAAGTATATTTGTAGCACGAATGGCTCGGCTCGACCGGGGAAGGACCATGCTCTCACAGAATACCAACGTAAAATAGCAGCTTAACTCTGCTGTGTTTCGTATGGTGAGTGTAGAGAACTGGAGACCCTTTTTTCCTCACGGGTGACAACACATCTGCATTTTGATTCATAAACGAGGATAAATGTAGATGTCTATGGGCCACAGCAACCACTACCATCAGGTGGACTGTGTACTCATTTGTCACCCTATTCCTATAAAAAATATTCAACAAAAAAGAATTCTACAAACCTATATTTATATTATTTCCATTGTGGCCTTGCATTCCATATGGCATTGGCTGTGTCTGAGGTGGATGATTATGTTGGTAAGGCACATTAGCATTCTGTATGTTTTGGTATGTTATTGTTGCTTGCTGATTATCATTCAGTTCAGAAATTGGCTTCACAGAAGTCTCATGCAAAGACTGTGTCCATTCTACAGGTGATTCTGGTATTGTCTTTTTTAAAGCAAAATTGCTTTGCTCACGTCGTAAACTAGGATATTGCTGTGGAGCTGGTGGCACTGGTGGGGATTCCTCAGGAACTGCTGGCGGAACATTAGCTTGATTACGTAAATCTCTTCTTATGCGTGGTGGACTCGTACTTCTTAGAGAATTTGATCGAGCCACATTTGATGTTTTTGGTAAAACAACTCCATTTTGTACTGGCTGAGTGTTGATGAAAGTTGGATTAGTAGAGGGAGGACGTGTCATAGATGCAACAGACGCTGACCTATGTTCACCTCTTACTATAGTTTTTAAATCTAATATTTCAGTAGGAGTAATTTCAGATGGATCTACTAATGGAAGAGGTCTGTCAGTTGATTTAAAAATCTGAAAAAAAAAATTCTTAGGAAATGATTTGATTAAGAAATTAGATTAATGATAAGAATAACAACTTTAAAATTATAAATTTCTTTCTATTGAAAAACATTGCTAACCTGCCTTTCAAACATGACATTTAAAGGAATTTAGATTTACTACCCCTTTATATTGCAATGGGAGGGGGAGGGGACCTTTTCTGCCGCCTTCAGAAATACATGATATATATTTTTTATAAATTTTTGAAAATTTCATATTTGAGTAGCAATTTGAAGTATTTTAGTAAATTTTTTATATAGAGGGAGAAGAGGGCAAGGAGCATCCCTGCTGTACTATAAACCTCCCTCAAAAATGCATATTTTTTTAATTGAATTTCCCATCAAACTAGTGTTAAGCAAATTTGCAGTCAAAAGCACTTTGTTACTGAATTAACTCGATCTAATGACAAATTTTAAACAAGATGTTTGTGGCTTTGGCAGTCAACCGTATCTCAACATACTGTTGCTGATATCTTATTCAAACAGGATCAACTTTTTTTTAAATAAAATACTTTTGACAGTGTCAGTAAAAACTAATTTTGATCAGGAAATTGTTATTTTTAACTTTAGTTACAATGTACAAAAATAAGAATATTTCAGTTTTATAAGACCCGACACAACATGCTTAAACAAAATGTAAAGCCAGATAGATTATTGAATAAAATCATAATTTTATTCTTAATTCTCTCAAAAACAATATGTTTCTAATCGCTCTAATTTTATATAATATGTATGTAAAACAAGTAGATTATTGAACAGTAGTCATTTGAAAGTGCTAACTTTGGGTAGTTATTCTAAAGGTGAGCCATGTATTGAATATTAATATCAAAACTTACAATAATTAGGTAAATTATTCCAAAATATAGTTAATGGTTATAATAGAGTTAAATTACCTGATTATTCCCCACAAGAGAAGCCCATTGCAATGGTAACCCAACGAACTTGCCCTCTCTTTTATCAAAGCCTGTATGCACCCTATGTTCAAAATTACTTGGAGGTGAAATAAGGGGCTTCTTCTTCTTCTTTGAAAACATATTGAAACGAGATATCCCGTCGTTACTATTGCTGTTTATGTTATTTCAAGGCTTTTTAACAGTGCACGGTAATGCAGAGGCAAAAATACACAAATTAATTTATTGAGAAGGAAAAAGATGTTTGTACCAAAATATGTATATATAACGACACAATAAAACCAGGACGCACATAAACTTTAAGAGCTAAAATTGCAAAGCACAAATTTTAAAAAGAAAGCTTGTAATCGTAATCAGTTTTCACTTAGAACCGAATTAGAATACTGCGCACCGTAGTGAGTAATAGTGCTCTGTGCTGCGCACATCATTTTAGAATTTTAGATACACTTATAAATAAACACAAACGCACAAACCACTACAAAATTTTGTTTTTGACAGTGAGACTAGAGATTACAAAATTAATTTGACATTTAGAAGAAATTCTTTTAGTAGCCACGCCTGAATCCACAAATTGTATTGATGTAATGTTAATTATACTAGTGTATTAACTTAATAATTATTTCACTTTTATTATTCACATATGATCAACAAACTTTAATTGCAAAAATCGTACAACACTATTTCCTTTGATTTCTAATAGGTAATTAATTTTTTTAAATTGCGATTGTGTTGTTATTTTATTTTCATTATTCATCTTTAAGCAGTGTCAGGGCTGCCAGATCAAAAAACTCATTCAGCGCTAAGACGATACAAAAAGCGCTAGATTTTATGAAAACAGCGCTTTAAAAAAGCGCTAGATTTCGCGCTAAACTAACTACATTTTTTCTTGAATTATAAATTATAATAAAAAACGCAAATAAAGTTCAACCAAATAGTTTAATTTCGTTATCGAGACAACATTAATTAATTTTCAATTAACAAGTTACTGAACTAGGGCCAGCTTCATCAGCGTTTTTTTTCTGGCTATATTTTTCTGATGTCCCAATACTTCGCAAAACATCGACAGGAAGCTTATAACTATAACAATTTCTGTCAACAGCAGTTAGTCCTGTACGAACAATTAAAATGGAATTAATTGTTTTTAAGTGCAATGTATTTCGCAACTTAGTTTTTACAACATTCATTAAACTGAACACACGTTCGATGTCAGCATTTGAATGCGGTATGCTCATTACCTTTGTGGCCACTTCAAACAATTCTCTATAAGGACAATTGCCAGCTGCATCCCTCGACTGCTGAACTTCGGCCCAGAATTTCACTGTGTTGTCAGTATGGACCCACTATTGCAGTATTATAGTTTGCCATTGCTGTACAATACTATCCATATCGTTTGTGCATCCAAGACTCTCTAAGACTTTTATAAAATTTTCAATGAGTCTATTTGGCTTTAAAATAACTGAAACTGATAGCGCCATTGTATTTTTTAATAGTTTTAAGTTTTCCGGCATTCTTTGTTGTAGTTCATTGATCAGCTTTATTATAAAATCAACACACCTTTTCTTGATCATTTTTTTTTCTTCATTATCTAATGCAGACTCATTGATCTCTTTTTCAAATAAGTATCCAAGAAAAGGACTCATAGAAAGATGTTCTCTTACATTAAGAGAGTCAAATTGCAATCCTGGTTTAGTAATAATTACTTTAGTGCACAAATTTCTTATCAAATCATAAAGAGTGTTGTATAACAGACAGGGATCTGAAGTTTTGCTTTCGAAGATTTTTATTGATTCTTGAACATTTTTAAGCGTGCCACATAAAAATTGCAAAGAAATTTTGTTCCTTTCATCATTAAACATATTATACAGTAATTCGGCTTGATAGCAATTTTCTCTAGTTCTCATGATTTCAAAATGTAATTTTAGTTCGAACCATTGGCCTAGAATTCGACTTACTGCAGGTTCGATTGACAGCCATCTTGTATCACAAGCCTTTAAAATCTTCAGTGGTTCTTCTCCGCAATTTATTGCTTCGTATAGTTGTCTGTATTCATTTTGACGTTTTGCTGAGACTTTAAACCAATTATGGGTTTCTCTAATCATAAACTCTATGTTTCTAGGTATCGTCTCAAACGAAGCGCGAGAAACTGCCAATTGGATAGAATGGCAGACACACCTAATCAGTACAAGATTGGGTAAAGAAAACCGCTTTTGCAATGTTTTATATACACCGGCGTTTACTCCAACCATTACGGAGGCGTTATCAGTTCCTATGCCGATCAACTTGCTTTTAAAGGTTCTCTAGGTTAAAGTCTTCGAGTATTGCTGTGATTGCAGTTACTATCCCCTCGGCATCTGCCGATTCCAATCCTACCAGCCCCAAAAATGTGGAAACTATTTCATTGCGTGTATTGCTGAAATATTTAATGACAACACCAAGATATTTATTAACAGAGACATCAGTTGATTCGTCAATAATTAAACTGTATGAATTATTGCTGATATCTGTCCTGAGATTTTTTTTAAAATGAGGTGCCAAAACTTCTTGAATCACAGCGGTGCATTTCGTGCGGTGCATTTTTATTTCTGAAGTAGCTTTAGAATCAGAAAATTTGTTTTTACATAACTCTGTCAGGTGATCGATTGCTTGTATAGACGAATGTTCGGCAACGTACATTGCAAGAGCTCCTTCAGCTTCCAAGCAGGTTTTTTCGACGGGTTTTTGAACCACGGACGTAATCAATGTTTGTTTATTGTCAAGGAAAGGTTTTGCTTGTTTTTTATGATTTGCCGATTCATAATGTCTTTGAATATCACTTATTTTTGCAAGAAATTCCTTTTTACCAAAATGTACACATTGCTCTTGTGTCATCGCCAGATACTGGTTTCAGCCATTGCTTGTAGTTTGGCGACTTTTCCCACTCAGTTTTATATCTTTGCTTATATACAGATTGCTTACGTAATGGCATTTCCATTTTATTATAAAGTCTACTCACAAAATTGCTAAATACACACAAAACTTAATATTTACGAACGGACCTATACACTTTCTTTGTATTGTAACTTTTAATTTAACTGAGCTCTAAACAACTGACTGAAACTGAATGAAAAAAAATAAATGAATTACCAAAACCATGAACGAAAGTTTTAATGAAGGGGATTTCCCCGCTTATAGTCTATGGGTAATGTAGAATAACAGTGCTGCCATGACATAAAGTGTAAAAGAGTTAGATAACCCGCTAAAAGCTACAATTTTAAAATGTGTGCTAAGTACACAAAAAAGCGCTAGATTAAGCGCTAGGCGCTAAAATTTTGAAATGCGCGCTAAACACACCAAAAAAGCGCTAGATCTAGCGCCCAAAGCGCTAAAATGGCAGCACTGAGCAGTGTTGCCGACAAAGAGTTCTTTCTTTTTTATTAAGATTCTCGACTTGGATGCCTGTTCTTTAAGTCATGTTTTTCTTCATTCGGAATCTTCGTTTTATAAATTTTCAGTATCACGTGATAATAATACTTTATAATACACAACTTCACAATATATCCATGCGTCACATTGCGTAGTTTTTGGGAAATTTTGATGGCAACTTATTTACTTAAATGTATTTCTTTTTATCTAATACATGATGTTTAATTAAAAGTTATATTATTTAATTTAATAATGGAATAATTTGCTGTTGTTGTTCTGTGTATTAATACCTCTTCATTATTTATCATAATTTTAACATTTCTTTCATTCATTTTCTATTTTCTAAGTACCTTCATAAACACAATCGAGCTTATTATCTTTCTGATTCTTAATTAATACTAAATCGCCAGAACTATAATTATTACATTAAGTATATTTCTTATCATATTATAAACTAGTTCACCTTCCTTCGGGAACCCGTGCATTTTGGTCTCTCGCCAAGGCTGTCCAAGGAAATTTCTGTAAGCCATCACTACCATCTCTGCACAGGGAGGATGACTCACTGGCCCACGCCGCAAAAGAGAAAGCCGATGTTGTAGGCTCCTTTTTTGCGTCCAACTCGACTCTGGATGACGGGGGGAACACACCGCCGACCATCCCACAGTGTGAGTGCTCTATGCCTGATGTGCGGTTCACACAGTGCTCAGTACGCAAAACACTCCTCTCCCTGGACATCCATAAGTCGAGTGGGCCTGACGGAATCCCGACAATTGTGATGAGGACGTGTGCTCCAGAGTTGGCACCAGTTCTAACGAGTCTTTTTCGGCACTCCTACTCCCTATGCGTTGTCCCGAATTCATGGAAGACAGCTTTCGTGCACCCGATCCCTAAAAAAAGTAACCGCTCTGATCCGTCCAACTACAGGCCTATTGCCATCACCTCTTTGTTGTCGAAAATAATATGATCTGAATTACGAAGTTTTGAGTTTAAGGAGATGGAAGGAATACTTTGAAGGCGTGTTTATGGGTGATGAGACATTTAAATTAAATGAAATAGAAATTCCGAATGAAGAGGAAACAGATAGAGACATAAGAATAGATGAAATAATGAAAGCAATGAAAAGTATGAAAGCCGATAAGGCAGCCGGATATGATAGAGTATCTCTCGAAATGCTAAGGGCTGGAGAAGGAGTGGTGGCAGACTTGCTGTACACCTTGTTTAATTTATGTTGGGAACTTAAGCGGGTACCGGGAGACTCGTGCAAAGCTGTAATAATCCCAATATATAAAGGAAAAGGATCACAGCAGGACTGTAAAAACTACCGTGGTATCAGCCTTCTTAGCATTGTGGAAAAACTGTATACTAAGGTACTAATTGAAAGAGTTATGATAGAAACTGATGGAAAAATTTGGGATGTGCAAGCGGGATTTAGAAAGGGAATGGGATGTACGGATCAGGTATTTTATATGCGCATGGTCGCGGAGAAGTTTTTGGCCAAAAACCAAAAAGTTTATTGTGCGTTCGTGGAATTGGAAAAGTCTTATGACAGAGTGGACAGGGATGTGTTATGGCAAACACTGAACTCATTTCGGTTGGACGCTGGGTTGATACAGGCATTGAAGTCTCTGTATAGGGACTCTAGTGCTTGTGTCAGGATCAACGGGGCCTACTCGGACTGGTTTGGCATCCATAAAGGTGTCAGACAGGGCTGCGTGACTTCCCCGTGGCTGTTCAACCTATTTATGGACATTTGTCTGGAAAATTTGAAAGTAGAAGAATGCGGGTTAAGAATGGGTGAATTAAGCGTCAAATGCCTTTTGTCCGCCGATGATCAAGTCATACTTACGTCGTCGGCGGCCGAGTTGCAAATGATGGTTACATTCATGAACAGGACATTAAAAGAAAAGGGAATGAAAGTGAACGCAAGTAAGACGAAAGTTATGGTTTTTGAAAGAGAAGAAAGTAAAACGATATGTGAAATAAGAATAGAAGGGGAGTTGGTCGAGAAAGCAGATGAGTTTGTGTATTTGGGATGTGTATTTAGCAGGGATGGTAGATATGATAAGAATGTAGAACGACGAGTGAACGCAGGAAATAGAGTAAATGGGGCTCTACACTCTATTGTGAGAAGTCAGAATGTGTCCAAAAAGACACGTATGGCAATTCACAATGCTTAGTCCCTACTTTAATGTATGGAAGTGAAAGTTGGGTGTGGCAGAAGAAGCACGAGAGTAGAATAAATGCTGTAGAAATGCGACTTAAAAATTAAGAATATTGGCTCATAGCAATATATACATTAACCTAAAAATATATATAAAATATAGACATAACACTATTTAGGGAACTTTTTTCTTTGGCGCGTCCCTGTATCGGCGAAACACTACCCCAGAGGGCCAGAAATCGGGAGCGAGGAATGTCTCTTTGTGTTTTGCAGGAACCTGGAGTACGTAGGATTTGAAGTTCGTTGACCTATTAGACTCCAAACACTGCAAATGTAAAGAGATCGGATCCTCAATGCGGCATCGGCTTCTTTCTTCAACGAAACGCAGGACGTCTTCTCCTGATGTACTTTTGTCCAAACGGGAGATGTAGAGCTGTATAGTTGGCTCCACAGCACGCAGAGTTGTACTCGCGTTTATTTTGGCCGTCCCACGCTGGTTACAGACGGGTCTCGACCGACGTCTCTTCTCAACAAGAGTAAACCCGTCCTTATCAATTTTTTCTTGGGCCACACTTGGCTTTGGCGGAGGAGTACTAATGAGTTCAGTCAAGGTTTGAGGTGGTGATGCAATGATAACCGAGGTCGCCCTAGTTTCACGGTCATCAAGCCACTGATAGGCGGTAACGCATGACGGAGTCGCAATCATCGGTGAAATATGACTACTATTACGGTTACCGCGTGTCGTATTAACATTCTGCGACGGCGGGGAATTCGCAGATGTTGCAATTATGTTTCGCAACATATTGACTTCGTTCCTCAGCTCTGTTGCGGCTCGTTCCGATTCTTCAAATTTGGAACGGATGTCGGTAACATCGGCTTTCAACGTGGTGATGTCGACGTGATCGAACGTCACGGGAGGCAGCTTGTTGATATCACGCGCGACGAAAGTTGGGATGTCATCAGGGTCGGTCTCATTGAATAGCCTGAAGATGTCTTGCAGGTCTTTCTTACCGCGTCCATCCCTGTGACGTGTGATGAGACGGATTTGGCTCACGGCTGAATTTGCTAACACCTTCTTCACTTGGATGATCTCGTCCTCGGTGAAGCTTGTCATCAGTATCTGCTCCAGAGACACCTGGTCCATGACGTCCAATTTTTGTTGAACAAAGGCCAGGAACTCGTGAACTACGACGGTTTCGGAGTGTTTAGGTTGACACGCCGTTTCGAATCATTTTCGCGCAGTAGGTATGCTTACGCTACGAAAATATTGTAGGTTCGGCATTAGAGCCGTCACGTCATTACGAAGCGACTGCACTGACCGGTAGTAAAATTGCGACTTCAGTTAAAAAAGGACAGAATATGCTATTCTGTCCTTTTTTAACTGCACTATTCCGCAGTCTTTCTGTATTTGTCTTTTATTATTTGAGACTAGTCTAGTCGGGACTCTAACCAAATACTAGGCAGTCGAGTCACTAGTACGGATTCATGAGAATGTGATCTCAGTGGACGCTCTAACTAGGTAACTAGGCACTCGACGTTGCAATCGTATACGTGTATTGGACTTATAGGAATTGGTTTTTATAACGAAGTTAAGAGATAATAAGTATAAAGTTAAGTTATGTTATTTTAAGTTACATTATAAATTTAAGTTATATTATATAGTTAAGTTTGGTGTTATTAAGTGGTTAAAGAAGTTTTGATTTTATTTTTTATTAAGACATTAAAGTGGTTATTGTTTATAAAAATGGCTCCCAAAGTAATTAATGTCGCTTGGGATCACGTTACGGACAAAGGTCAATAAATGGCCGAGTGTAATATTTGTAAAATACAGTTGAGTTTTAAAAGTTCTGTATCACACCTTACAAAGCACATAAAACGTAAACATCTATTCGTAAGTTTAGTTAGAAGAAACGATGTTCCAGCTCCAGTGATAGCAGCCCAGACCAACCAGCAATCGCTAACCTCAAACCAACCTGCTGCAATAGTTCAACAACCTGAAGGTGAATAACGGCCGTCCACTAACTTGGTACGATTAGTACAACCAGGTTCGAGAACTATAGCTTCTTACATACAGGGTGTTTTTGGAACGCTCCCGAAAACTAAGACAGGCGACAACACCAAGTATACCTTTGATCATGGGTCACAAATAAATTCGATCCTGATGAAAAAAAAATCATCTTTTTACAAGGTTTTATTAGCTTTATTCACGCGCCATCAAGTTAGTACAGCTAAATGAAACGATAATTTCATAAAAAATATCATGAAAATACTGAAACATAAAACCAGCAGTGGAATGACTGAATTG